AGTCACGTATGGAATCTAAGTATCTCTAGGTACCTCTGTTGGTAGAATACATAAATTGAATTTTATGAATAGTCAAGTCCCTTCTCTGAGCCCCTTCTTGTTTATCAGACAAGTTAGACTTCATTGTGGTGCAGTCTTTCTGCCAGTCTCCCAGATGATATTTAGGGCCATCCAAGGCTTTTTCTTCCTCATTTTTTTAAAAATTTATCTCTATTGTTGAAAGTAATACAGGTGTACCTCCCCCCTCCCCCCGCCATTGAGTCCTTCTAGCTCACCCCCTCACCAAGCCTTCCCCATACTATTGTCTGTGTCCATGTGCTATGCATATATGCATGTAAGTTCTTTGGTTAGCCAATATTCACTAAATATTGACATTTCTTCTATCCCTTCTATAGCCATGTAGGAGCTAGAACAAACATTTATCGAGAGTTTGTTTATACAAGTTTTATCAGTTTTCTTTTGTTACATAAGAAATTACTATAAATTTAGTGATTAAGAACAATGCCCATTTACTTGTTCACGCTTCAGTGGGTCAGAAGTCTGATATGGTGTGACGTGGTCACTGCTCAGAATGTCAGGTATCAGAAGGCTGAAATCAAGACATCAACCAGACTGAGTTCCCCTCTGGAAGTCCTGGGGGAAAAGCTGCTTCCACACTCATTCAGGGTGGCAGAATTCAGTTCCCCTTCAAGTCTCTGACTTTTGCAAGCAGCCAGAGAAAACTCGTTCCTCCTAAAGGGCTCATGTGATTAAGTCAGGCCCATTTACTAGTAGATAATCTCCTGATTGTAAGGTAAACTGAGTTGGGACCTTAATTACACGTGCAAAAGCCATTTACAGCAGTAGCTGGATTAGCATTTGATTGACTATGTGGAAGAGTGTGTGTGCATCAGGAATCTTGGAGACCATCTTAGAATTCTGCCTACCATACAAGGGAAGCAGAATGCTAAGAAATTTGAATGTATATTCTCACTTAAGTCTTTCAATGACCCTATGAAGCAGATACTACTATTATTTCCATTTTATTGGTTAGGAAACTGAGACACAAGAGAAGAGTGTAAGCAACTATTTTCACAACTCTCCATTGCTCTTGGAATTCCCTGTCTGTATTCATTTAACTACATTCGGAATGACTTTCCTACCTCCAAGATCTTCCTCCTCTATTTTATCCTATATCCCTTGGCCAGACCAATGTTAGTTAAAAACATTTTCCCCCACCAGGTCACTCTCCTAGATATGGAGAATTATACATTGCTAGAGCAACAAAGAGACATGAGTATAATGTACCAGAAACTGAACTTATGGCCAAATATGAGAATCTATTCATCTGTATCCTTGGTAAAGATTTTATGATACTAACATAGAATTGTAAGGTGTGAGTGTTAAGGCGGCAGGAGGGAGGTGTGTGTGTGAGTGATTATAACACAAGATATAGAGTGTGGATTGTATCTTTCCAGATCAGAAGGAAGAAGCAAGTATGAATAATACTGAACAATAAGACATAACAGAGCATTAGATTCAGAAGCAAATTTTATAGGTTAAATTGAAAGTCTAAGAAGTTTATTGTATTGTAGAGTACATATATGTAAGAAATATACTTAAACACAGAATAAATCTCATTTATTTTTAAGAGATGAGTAACTTTAGAAACTTGGTTTCACTTGCTTATTCATTAATTTGTTCAGCAAATATTTATTGATTGTCACTTTGTATCAAGCACTGTGCCAGCCAAATTAACTATTTTTTTCCTACAGCTTCCTCAATGGTTTTCCTGCTCTCACTCTCACCTTGCACTCCTCTGCTCATCCCAGTCTATTAGCCACAAAGCAGCCAAAGTGATGCTTAAAAAATCCCATTTAAGGCCTGGACACTCTGTTGCTTAAAACTTTCGAATACATTTTTAACTAATTCAGAGTAAAATACAAATTCCAGGGCCCACTATGTAGCCTAATAAGCCCTTCTCCACTCTTCACTCACTCCACTTCAGCAAACACTGTCCTTTTTCCCATATTCCCTGGACATGGAGGGCATGTGTCCACCTCCGGCTTTCACATAGGCTGGTATTCACACATCAACTTAGAATGTTTTCCCCCAGAAAGCTATTCCTTTATTTCATGCAGATTGTTTACTCAAATGTGATCAAAGGGACCCTCCTTTGCCACCTGAGAAAAAATATCATGCCCCTCCTCTCTACTTTTTCTATTTTTCTTTCCAGCACTCAATTACCACCTGGTGCATATGCTTAAAAAAAGTATCATAGTTGACTTGTTGTCCCCTCCCTACTGGGATGTCAGTTCCTGAAAAGAAGGGCTTTTATTTTCTCTACTATATTCTAGTGACTGGAACAGTGTCTGACACATAGGAGGTACTCATACATATTGAATAAATGAAATGAATGTAAATTCACTTATTTCTTTGTGGCATTTATTTTCTTTAACACTGAAATAAAAATATTATTAAACCATTTCAATGAAATAGTATGGTTTTATATTTTCCACATGTTTTTATGCCTTCTTATTTACCCACATCCCAAAGAACATGATCTCTATTAGTGAATAGTATTGATACACAAAAAGTTCTGGTGTGTGTGTGTGTGTGTGTGTGTGTGTGTGTGTGTGTGTGTGTGCGCGCGCGCGCGCGCGCGCGCGGGGGGGGGGGGGCGGGGCGTGGCGGCGAGGGGCGGCGGGGGTGGGAGGGGGAGGTAGGCGGGGCAGCGGGAAGAGCATTTTCCAACAGAATGGTGCTGGGACAGACCAATAGCTGTGGAAATCAAGTCATGGAATTTGCAACTTTTAAGAACCTCAGCAAATAGACTGTCTTGATGGCTTAAATGCCAACAAACACAACTGAATGTGGTTGCAGAACAATCAGGTTTCAGCAGAGTCCTTTCAAAATGACACATCCAACCGGCTGGGAGAGCTTTCAGGCAGCAGGATTGAGTGCGTCAGCCAGGAATCCTCCCGAGAGTGGAGGCATGGCTTCCAGCCACTCCCTACTCAGTGTGATTGAGAAATACAGCTTCCAACCCCACATTGTACTTGATGTCTATGTTGCTTTCCCCCCCACAGCTTGAAATTTCCTGATGTCAGTGATAAGTCGGCTGGTGATAAGTCAGTTAGTGATAAGTCAACTGCCAGTTCTCAGTGTACTAACACTCACTCTATAAAGAAGTTCTGAGGCTGGCCGGAACCGGTTTGGCTCAGTGGATAGATCGTCGGACTCAAGGGTCCCAGGTTCGATTCTGGTCAAGGGCATGTACCTGGGTTGCAGGCACATCCCCAGTGGGGAGTGTGCAGGAGGCAGCTGATCGATGTTTCTCTCCCATCGATGTTTCTGGCTCTCTATCTCTCTCCCTTCCTCTCTGTGAAAAATCAATAAAATATATTAAAAAAAAAAAAAGTTCTGAGGCTGAATGAAAGCTGCTTTAAGGATCTTGATAGTCTCACTCCTAATATACCAGATAAGAGTATGTACAGTAATTTTTTAAAATTGCTACACTCGGAGTGTGAAAATGAAGTTTAATAATTGCTACACTTGGGATGTGGTAATACATTTTAATAATTTGAAATATAACTGAGAATTCAATTGTGTTGGGGGTGTAGTCATCTGATTAAATTTATACTTCATATGCAGTCAATCCCAGTTCATACAAAAGTAACAAGCCAAACCATAGTTGAAAAGAATTCAAATGTGTGATGTTTATGAGACTCACTCCTGGGAAGGAACGTTTGGATAGATTTATAAAAGGTTTCTTTTCCCCCTTCTCCTTGAATGTGTGTGTGCATAAATATAAATGCAAAATTTGACTTTATATTTGAAAATTATCCTTTTTGATTTCTGAAGGTATTAGTAAAAACCAATCAAACAACCAAGCCAAACCAAACTACCCAGGTTTTCGCTGAAGAAGGTCTAGGTCAGTGGTTCTCAACCTTGGCTGCACATTAGAATCACCTGGGAATCTTTTTTAAATCCTGATTTCTGGGCCTCATCCTCCGGAAATTCTGTTTCTTTGTTACTAATGTTGTGGCCTCACCCCATAACAAAGAAACAGAATTTCCGGAGGATGAGGCCCAGAAATCAGGATTTTAAAAAGATTCCCAGATTTTAAAAAGATTCTAATGTGCAGCCAAGCTTGAGAACCACTGGTCTAGGTTCAAATGCAAGTTTTGTTAATGGGACACTTAATGTCTCTGGGTAAGTCACTTATCCTCCCTGAAGCTTAGCTTCCTGAATAATAATGGGTTATTCATGATTTACATCTCCAAATGGTTCTGAGAATCAAATAAGATAATGTGAAAAAGCTTTGAAAGCTGCTTTACAAAAGTAAGGATGTAATTTATTTCTTTTTAAAAAATCTTTATTGTTGCAAGTATTATATATGCCCCCTTTCCCCCCCGCATTGACCTCTCCCAGGCCACCCCCACCCCCTAGACTAGGCCTTCACCCCCCTATTGCCTGTATGTGTCCATTGGTTATGCTTATATGCATACAAGTTCTTTGGTTGGTCTCTATCTTCTCTCTTCCCCCACTTCCCTCTGTCCCCGCCTACCCTCCCCTTCCTTCCCTCTGAGGTTTGATGGTCTGTTTAATGCTTCTATGGCTCTGTATCTATTTTTGTTCATCAGTTTATGATGTTCATTATATTCCACAAATGAGTGAGATTATGTGATCTTTATCTTTGGCTTATTTTGCTTAGCATAATGCTCTCCAGGTCCATTCATGCTGTTGCAAATGGTAAGCATTCCTTCTTTTTTTTTTTTTTTTTTACAGCAGCATAGTATTCCATTGTGTAGATGTAGCACAGGTTTTTAATCCACTCATCTGCTGATGGGCACTTAGGCTGTTTCCAAATCTTAGCTATTGTAAATTGTGCTGCTATAAACATAGGGGTGCATATATTCTTTCTGATTGGTGTTTCTGCTTTCTTAGGATATATTCGTAGAAGTGGGATTACTGGGTCAAATGGGAGTTCGATTTTTAATTTTTTGAGGAAACTCCATACTGTTTCCAGAGGCTGCACCAGTTTGCATTCCCACCAGCAGTGCATGAGGGTTCCCTTTTCTCCACATCCTCGCCAGCACTCTCTGAGGTGATCAGACTTGAACTTCGAATTTTAGTCATAGGCAAAGAGTTGGGACCTCATTTGTCCTTTTGAAAAATTGAACATCAGTCCACCAATTTAATTCCCTGGTGGGGAAAATCCTGAGCAGTAAAAAAAGAACTCACAGCCCTGTGGCAAGGGACTGAAAAATTCAGTCTGATACAAAATATAGAACTCAAATTCAAGGGAAAACCTATCAAAAGAACAAATAGGAAGCTAAATCGGGACTCTTTCCCACCTTTGCTGCTCCTACACGCTATAGACACTCCTCGTGGCTACGGGCTCATACCCAGTTTTTAAATGTCCCTCCACTTGTAGACTACACGCTGCCCGCTCGCTTCCTTTCACTATCGACTTTCCCCAATCTTGGCAGCACCTCCCGGTTCACGGTGCATTTGGAAGGGCAGACGGGGGTTTTTCTATCCAGCCCCGCTGGGTTTCGGTCACTGAGTGTTACTTTCATGGACGTGTTTGCAGAAAAAGCTGTGTACGCAGGGTGGACGGGCGGTGGGGTGTGTGCGGTGGCTCCAGCCACCTTCGCCTCAGAGCGTGGCGGAGACACCCTGCACGGCCAGTCGACAGGCGCCCGCAGAACGTGCGCAGGTGGGCGAGGGCCGGTACCACTTAGCCCGGGCTGGGAGTGCGTCCACAGCTCCCTCCGCAGAAGGACTCCAAGGAAACAGTGGCCCCGCCCCCTTCCGCGTGGGTCCCGGGCGGCCCCGCCCAGCAGTTCCTGTCACGTGCTGCAGCGCCGCCCAATCAGCGCCCGCTGCGCGCAGGCTCGCGATTCAAACAGCGGCTAGGACGGTTCTCGCCGTCCCGCAGCGTCGCCGCCGCCGCCGCCGTGTGCGGGGCATGGAGCACCGCATTGTGGGGCCCGGGCCGTACCGGGCCACCAGGCTGGTGAGTGAGCATGAGGGGGCCTCCGGTCCCCGACCCCCCGGCCTTCCCGCTGACGGGTCAGTCTTCGCTTCTGGAGCGCAGGCCGGGCCGGGGTTTGGGGGCCGGGCCGGGGTTTGGGGTGGCCGTTTTCTGGATGTTGCTCAAAGAACGGAGAACGGGTCCCGGAGCCCAGGCCGTCGGGGGCGCAGCTTCGTTCCCGAGATCTTGGAGGTGTTCTGGGCCATCAATGGCACTTCCCACTTTGAAGAGCCGGGAGGACCAGGTGACCCCCTCTCCCAGCCTGTTTGTCCCGAGTAATCCTTCGCCTGCTGCCGGGAGCGGGGAAACCCATTTCTAACCGTAGGGACCCTCCTGCAGGGCGTGTCTCCGTCCTGAGAGTCACTGGTGGTGACAACTTGAGGTTCTTTCTAACGGTGCCCAGAGCAGAGGTGGATCGCCCTGACCACATTTCCGGTCCCTGGCGTTTCTGTTTTTGTTTGTTTGTTTTTCCCATCATTGACATAAATGAGGGGGCTGGGCTGGTTGGTCTGAAAGAGCCTTTTCTCCTGGGAGAAGAGCTTCGGTATTGGGAGTTCTCAGGGGTTCTTACTTTGATTTCTTTTATGACCTGGAGCAGGTGATTATAGTGATTTGTGTTTCAGAGGATTACCATAAAGGAAGGAGTGATGACAGTTTGGTATGTTCATGGCAGGGTTTTAGGCAGCTTTCTATGAAAGCGTACTGGTAATTTGGGAGGAAGGGACCTTCCTCTTGGGTCTGGCACCACTTCTGGTCACTTCTGGGGAATTAGTCTCCTTGTTCTGTGCACCCTAATGGATATCCAGGAAAAGATGGGAATTAAGTTCAACCTCTAATTCAACTAGTTACTAGGCTTGTATATGTGGAAGAGATGAGGACAGTGGGACAGGGGGAGGTATAATTAGGGTTTCCTTTTCTTTCGGGAACCAGTGTCACAATGGCCGGTGGGGTCAAGCCAGAGCTAAGAAAGCCAGCTTCTAAGAGAAATCGTGGTTGGGGCAGATGGTTGTGTTGTAACGTACCCCGCGAGTCACAGAAGGACGCCTCAAGAAGTCGAATTAAAGAGGCACATTTATTGCATCCGGGACTATGAGGGCCCATTCCCAAATCTCATAGCCATAAGATGGTGGCAAAACCAGACTTATATAGGCAAAAATTACAAAGGTATTGATTACATCCCAGGGTTTGGAATGAGGCACCTGGCTCGCAAAAAAGCAGATTACAGAAGCAGAATTAAGCATGTTAATCACAGTTTTGGGTCTCAGGGTCACTGAATTGACAGAAATACATTATCTAGAGCCCTTGGGTAACCTGGATTAAACTTAGGCATGTTATCTCAATTACAGTTTTGGGTCTCCGGATCACTGAGTTGATAGAAACACATTATCTAGAGCCCTCGGGTCTCCCGACCACTGAGTCAGCTGGAACGCGCCACCTGTGGCCACTAAAACAATTTAGGGTAATTGTGCTGTCCTGTTTCCAGGTACAGAAGAATGTGCTCTCTAAGATCAGTATGACCCAATCCATGGGATATTCACATTACCATCAATAGGGCATTTAATTGAATGGGATGATTTATATAATTCAGAAAATCAAAATAACTGTCCATTGTTAAACAAAGCAAATAGGTACATAAGCCAAACAGTAGGGTTTAAGTTAAACTATAGATGGTAGCTACCATACTTCAGTTGTTTAATTTTTTATTTGGCTCATAGACCACTTTGAGAATCTCCTTTTTATAGAATAGTGCTCATGCCACATACTCATAAAATTATACATATGATTTCAGAAGACTTGGGGAGTCTGTGGCATTGTTTCATTTGGCTTAACCATTTACTTGCCCACAATTTTGTGAGTCAGCAATCTGGCCTGGGCTTATGGCAGTGGCTTTATTGTTGGGGCCACTCATGTGCCACGATCATCTGGTGACTTGACTAGACAGGAAGATCCCTTGACTTGGTTCTGGCTGTTGGCTGGGCCAAGTATCTTCACATAGTGGTTCAACATAACCAAAAGAAGGTTTCTGCCTGTAACTTTTTGTTTAGACCTCATTGGTCAGAGCAAGTCAGCTAATTCCAGATTGTAGAAATTCAGCTCCACTTTTCTTTTTTGTTAAATTCAATTTTTTTTTCAATTACAGTTGACATTTAATATTTCAGGTATACAACATAGTGGGTAGACATTTATATAACTTATGAGGTGATCCCCTTCCTGGAAGTCTAGTACCCATCTGACACCATACATAGTTATTACATTATTATTGACTATAGTCCCTATTCAGTTCCACTTCTTCTTTTTTTTAATTTTTACCTGAGGATATTTTGGCCATTGCTTTTCAGAGAGATTGGAAGGGAGGGAGGAGGAGGAAGGAGAGAGGGAGAGAGAGAAACATCAATGTGAGAGAGACACATCAACTAGTTGCCTCCTGTACATGCCCTTACTGGGGGGGTGGGGAGTGATCGAAGAGCCAGTACATACCCTTGACCTGGAATTGAACCCGAGACCCCTTGGTTTGAGGAACGATGCCCTAACCACTGAGCACACTGGCCAGGGTAGTTCTACTTTTTTATGGACAGATTTGCAGTTACATTACAGAGGTACCTGTGAACAGGATGGGAGGAATATTTGCATTCATCTTTACAAACAGTCTACTACAGACATACAGAATGATTCATTAAAAAAGGCAACCAACAAATACAAATTTAAGTTTTTCTTTCTGCTAGCTTCTGAGAGATATGGATGGTGGTGGTAGGGAACAAATAGGGTGTTTTAAAAATAATGTTTTCATATCTGCTTCCACTTCACAGTTGTTTCTACCATTTGAAACCAGCTGGTAGGTCCCATGTCAGGGATGAATTACAGATTGTGCTTTATCAGGGTCTTTCAAAAACTTTACTCTCTTTTGTGGAAGGAAAATAACACATCCTCCCTCCCGTCTCCCCCAATATATTCACATCATTTATGCAAGGAAAACAGAGAGAAGCTCTGGATATTGGCACTTCTCCTTTGTGCTTTAGACTGAAATAAATTACATCATAATTGGAACTGTTTTTTAAATCTCATATTCACAGAAAGGTATGCAGTGCCACTTTTCATAGATGCAGAGTGCCTATGTATTAGTACTTGATTCTGCTCTCTTTCTTCCCAGACATTGCTTGTGCCTCTCCTCCCTCTTTCGTCCCTCAAGATGTGTATCTCTTTCCCTTTCTCCTAAGCTTCAAGGGCCCTTCTACTACCTCTGTAACTTTCTAAATAAACTTTCCCTTATAAAAAATGTATATTATCAAAAGAGTTTATAAAGAAAAGTGTTTTCTACTTTCCAGAAGTCTTCAGTCCCCAAGAAGTGATATTCAAGCCTAGGTTAGCCAAAATGAATAAAGTTAAGCAGAAAATTAAATTATATGAATAATTAATGAAAACACCTCAGTTTCACCAGAATTTCCAGATAGTTCAGTTCAAACTTTATTCTATTTGAGAAACTTAATCTTAAACTAAGATTTTGAAAACACAGGAACAGTAGCCAATTTCTTTCTTTTTTTTTTAAAAAATATATTTTTATTGATGTTTTACAGACAGGAAGGGGGAGGGCTAGAGAGTTAGAAATATCAATGAGAGAGAAACATTGATCAGCTGCCTCCTGAACACCTCCTACTGGGGATGTGCCTGCAACCAAGGTACATGTCCTTGACCGGAATCAAACCTGGGACCCTTCAGTACTCAGGCCAATGCTCTATCCACTGAGCCAAACCAGGGAGGGCTGGAAAATGTTTTGGCAGTTCCTCAACATGTTAAATCATAGAGTTACCATATGACCCAAAAGTTCCACTTGTAGGTACATACCCAAGAGAAATGGAAACATGTTCACACCAAATGTTGTACATAATATTCATAAGTGCCCCAAACTGGAAACAACCCAAATATTTATCAGCTGATGGATGGGTAAACAAAATGTAGTATACCCATACACTAGACTATAATTCACCAATATAAAGAAACAAAATACCAGGACATGATATAACATACATAAAACTTTAAAATGTTATGTTAAGTGAAAGAAGCCAGTCACAAAAGACCAGATATTATGACTGCATTTATGTGAAAAATCCCAATTTCTTTTTAAGTGAGAATTCCTGATTTGTCAGTGATATCACTTTCATTACAGGTGCGTTTCCCTGAGCAAAATTCAATTGTGCCTTAAAGCTTTTACCCAGTAAATCATAAAGCTTGTGGTAGTTCTCTCTTTGCTTTCCTTCTCCCACTCCCAGTTTACCATTTCCCCCTTCTCCTCAACCTAATCTTCAGGAAAAGCTTTGGAAAATCCATTAGCATACAAAGAGCAGGCCTTTACTTGATCCTTTTATGGCACATTATACTTTCTCAAACCACATACAGCTCCATTTTCTAAAGCACCAACAAGTCTTATCTGAAAATATCATTTTATAGACTAGGTAAATTTTTTTGCCAAATATAAAATGACAGATTTATAAGCCAATTCATGATGAATATGGGAGTTAATTAGCAACTTATTCATCACTACTAAAATAGCTTTCATTTTTGTAACTCATATATAAATAGTTAATTATTTTAAGAGAAATAATGAGGAGAAAGAAGATTGCTTTTACTGAAAATTGCTTTTATTGATCCTTTCTTTGAACTTAATTCTGAGTTATTTGTATCATCTGATGCAACTGGTGAACTTGAAAAGACTTGAAGCTGTCATTGAATCTGAGCACTAGAATGCACTCCAAAGATTGCCTGGTTCAATTCCCTTATTTGACTGAGACCTAAAGGGGTGAAAGGACTTGATCAAGTTCATACTACTAGTAATGGCAAGTATAACTAGATCTAGAATTTTGTTCTCTCCGAGTTCCTGCCCAGGTGCCATACGATTATAGTAGTACTATAATAAAATTTTTGGTACTAAGAAGGAAGGAAATGGGATAAATATTCTGGAAGAAAGAACAGGAAGCACATTTCAACCC